AAGGATTGCAGTCCCATCCCCTTTTGCACTTGGCTATCCTCACTGCCAGAGGAAGCCACCATATATCAAGTCAAACCTTATACTGATTTTAATTATTAAAATATTAATATTCCATCCTGTAACACAAAAGCTCAGAGTGGTGAGCAGGGGGAGGGTACAGTCTAGAAAGCAACATAAACCAATTTAAACAATTTACAATAATTATAAACCACAAACTATACAGCACACTAAAATGTGTTCAAGCCAGATCCTTAGAACCCACAAATTTTGGTAAAGAATGTCATTTGAGCATCTTGCTGAAATGAAATTAAATGTCAACTCAAATTTGACCTTCAAATGTAGGGTGTTCCACAACCAGCGTGCCACAGCAGAGGAGGCACTTTTCCATGTGTCCATGTAGTATATTGATACTACTGGTAGGACAAAGAAGAGGGCCCTCCTAGCAGCTTTCAATGCTTGGTTGTGTACATATAGAGAGGGTCTCTCCTTCTAATCTCATTTCATGTTATCTAGGCTCTAAATGCCAGTGAAATTCCCTTAGTACCAGTTTTTGTATGGTGATTCTGGCAGAAAACTAGCTGGCCTGTGTTGCAATAACTACAGGTGCTGTGCCATTTCAGTAGTCTAACTACTGCATAAACTTCTGTGGCCATATCCAGGAGTAGTCATGTTGGTCATATATATATCTACACTTATTTAAGAAGATGACCTACGAAGCAAATCATACACTTGACATCTACACTTATTTAAGATGACCTATGAAGCAAATCCTAATTCTATTCACAATTAATTGTCAACGCTGTTGCTCAGGGATATATTTGTAATTAATATCACTACTTCCACACTATTTATGAAAAGAAATATTAATTCTAACCCAGCCCCCACACTAAAAGTGGGGAAAATTGCCATAAATTTGGGCCACCAATGACAACTTATAAAACTGCAAAGTGCCACTTAACTCAGAGCTCTTGCTAGAAAACTTTTAAAAAGTTTTGCACAGTTCATAATCTGCACCAAAAAGGAAGAAACATTAATAAGTCACATTTTAGGAAGAGGTGGCAAGATCCTGGTTTAGAGTTTCCTACATGTTTTCTCCCAAATATGAAGCTTTTTTCTTGTACAGAGAGGGCAAATCTGCAGCTCAAATGGATGGCATTTTATCCATTACTTCTCTGTGATATTCAAATGTCTTTATATAAAGTAGGAAAGCAAATGAAAGATTACAAGACACACTTGAGGAAACAGGATACAGCTCTCTGCAGGATTTTGAAATCATGGAAGGCTGGTCCAATTTTTGAGTTTAATGAGCATTTTGACCATAAAATTATTTTATATTCATCTAACCAATTTCATACCTCAACTACTTTGTCTAAAATGTGTACAGTCTATATAATGTTAATATGCACACAATCATAGCATCCAGCTAGCAGGTTTGAGTCAAACTGTTAACATTTTAAGATTAGTGTTATTATACTGTATGTTTACATTTCATATGTTCACTTATAACTTACCTATATATCCAGCTACATTATTTTAAGTGTTATACCAAAATTATGACTAAAGATATTTTTCCTTAATAGGGACTTCAACAAATGCAATTCATTTAAAAGTAATTCCCTGACTAATATAGCTTTCCATGAAGAAGACTCCGTCCCATTGACCCAATATTTATTTCCATGCACTTCTGTGGCTATTGTCATGTGCCTCCAAATTGTTTCTGGCTTATGGTGACCCTAAGGGAAACTTATCACAGGATTTTCTTGGCAAGATTTGTTTAGAGGGTTTGCTTTCCTTCCTTCTGAGGCTGAGAGAGTGTTACTTGCCCAAGGTCATGCAGTGGGTTTCCACAGCTGAATGAGGATTTGAACCCTGGTCTCCAGAGTCATAGTCCAGTCTCAAATCATTACACCATGCTGGCTCTCACTTTGGCTATACTGATGGTAAACTAACAAAATATTGCATACAACCTTTTCATTCAATATAAGCAACTGTCATTGATTGCACAGGACTTTTCCATTCAATATAAGCAACTGTCATTGATTTGCCACAGTAGGCCCAATATTTATACTAGAATCAAACACATTTGCAATTACAAATTTGTAAAAAGCTTAAGCAGAAACATCAGCAGTGCATACACGCCTGCAATTATTCAGCAATCTTGCTATGCAAGCAGAAAATTGGCACTGAGCATGGAATGCAGCATCCTGAGAACTACTGCTTACAGACCAGAAAACAACAACTTTTGGGTCTTCTAACACTGTGAAAATGACATTTAAACTGCCTAGCAAATATAAGCTGATGAAAAAGTAATAAATATGGACCTATGTGTTTTGATTATAGGACTCGGCTACAAAATTTGCCTTGTTCTGGGACAAAATTTTGAAATTATTTGGTGCAGAGCATATACAACCCTGAGAAGTAGGGGCAGACATAATAGCTATGCATATAGTCAGAACATATCCTAGGAATACTTCTCTTGTTTGTTCCAGATAGTCTTGAACAGCAAAAAGTACTTAGCAATCATACTCCTTATATCCTTCATTCAGAACCAAACAAAGGATGAAGACATCAATAGCTGAATTGGTTAATAAAGGTGTCATCAAATACTACCCATTGGCAAACAAAAGAGAGGATGATAGGACACAGTCCTATAGTCTGCGGAAGGAGTAGGCAGCAAAGGGTATCTGTTCTAGAATAATAAAGCTCCAGCTGCCCTGAGTCTTTATAACAAATATAATGCCCGACTCAACCACAGTCACCTCTTTATTTCTAATTATGTGGCTTTTTAAAAGTACAGGGCATGGAAATGCCTCTATTTGACATGCAGTATTTATCTAAAATTTATAACAAATGAATAATCTGCTACAAAACCAGCTGGAGAAACTTTGTGGCACCTGGTTTTTATCAGCCACTTCAGGAGAAAGGTACACGTACTAATACAGACAATCTGCTGTCCAAAACACTTTTGTCATTGAGCAATTCCTGCACTGTCTCATAAAGATTTCTTGGTATAATTTTCTACTTATAGTTTAATATGTATGCCTTTTCTGCCACCTTGTGGCCAAACCATGAAAAGATGAGGTGTGATTCCCTCTCCTTAATGTTACCTTCCATCAAAATACAGTGGTCCTTGGTTGGTATCCCTGACCCACCCACCCCACAGATAACAAAATCCACAGATGCTGAAGTCCTGTTAAATACAGTGGCGTTGTAAAATGATATCCCTTACATAAAACAGCAAAATCTTTCCTCTAGTTCAAATATAGTCTATGTATGGACTTGTTCGAGAAGTCTGGTGAATCAAGGATAAAAAGCTTATTCACTTTAAATACACAAGATGTTTACTCACAACCTCGGTTGCGACTAGTAGAAAAAAGTTTAAATGGGTGGCGTCCCGGTCTTCAAAGAAGATCCCTGCTGAGCGACCGCGCTCCTAAGTTTCTGTTATTCCTTGTCTCTCTTCCTTATGGATCCAGATCCATCCGGCATCAGAGGTTTCCGAACAACAATCCAAAAACCAAGTTAGGGTCGTCAGGGACTTCTATACCTAGGAGTCACTTTGGATCGGTTTTTAGCTCTTGGAAGACTATACCATTTATGCTCCACTTTTTTAACATTTAAGTAGTCCTAATAAAAATATCCAGTGCTGATTTTTATTTATATTTATATGTCATATGGCTATTTTCTTTTGTATTGGCTGATATATGTAAGTCACCTTCCCAAGACTCTTTCGTACTAAGTGTGTATGCATATTATGAGAATACTGATGATCCGGTTGTAGACCGTTCACAAAACAACCACTGAAAGAAGCTGTATTCTCACAACCTTATGATGTGTCAAAATGAATTAAGATTCTCCAGATCCATTTATCTCTGACCATAGACACTTAGCGTACACGGAAAGGCCCTACAATTCCTCCCCAAAGTGGCCAAGCCCAGGCTCTGAAAATTTTTTAAAAGGTTATTTCACTGTCACTAACAACCTGATTAGGAAAATGGATTTGGTTCTTTCCTTTCCCATGATTTTATGACATTCACATACAACCTTTCTTCAGCCTCTCAGGTACCACAGAAAGATCCCCTAAGTGCAAAAAAACACCCCTCAATATTTGTGACAATTCACTCAGGTACAACAGCATGAAAATTCTGCACTGAAGATGGTTATTTTATGCACACTTTACTAAAAGAAAACCCCGCTGAGCACAACAGGCCTTGCCTCTGTGTAAAGATAAGCAGGCTTTCATTGTAGACAATCACTGAAAAAGAAGCATACTAAAAAGAAAAATACTGTTTCTAAAAGTTAAAGTGTAGCATAAATGAATGGACAGCCTAAAAAAAGGGAAGGCTATCTGGTTTCCTACACTTTGGCCTAGCTGGTTTTTCATAAAACTCCCTAAAATAGTAGATTTTAATTCTGAATCCCAATTGTGCATCATCAATTTGTGGGGTTCCAACCCTTCAAACTATAACTGAACAGCTCCAAGGGAAACCATTTTGATTCTTAAAATATATCTGAGATTATTACACAGTCAACATAGAAACTGAAAACATTTATTGATGAATATCTAGAGGTCACCAAGTAGGGAAAGGATGTACTACACACTTATGCAACCTAGGTATGGTAGGGTACAGTCTGAGTGCTGGTATGACACTGTCCTCGTCCGTCCGTCCCCCCCCCAGCCACAAGGCTCCTGCTAGAAGGCCACAAGGTTCCTATATGTTTTGGCGACAATAAAATAAAACTAAAATCAAAACAGACAAGCTTCAAAGGACTTAATACCAAAGTCCCTGAAACAGGGTCAATCCACTTGAATCAGATAGAAGTAATCTTCAAGATACTTTGATTCTTGTGTGCACCTTCCAGGAACATTTCAGATTTCTTTGTAAATTCTACACCATTTTTTAAAACTTTCAACTATAAAGTTACAATAATCGTATTGCCAAACAGTGACCTCCTTATCCTGAGAAAAAATAAATCTGTTTATATTGTAAACTGAGAGAGCCAGTATGGTGTAGTGGTTTGAGTGCTAGACTATGACTCTGGAGACCAGGGTTTGAACTCCTGTGCAGCCACAAAAAGCCTGTGATAAGGTATCAGAAACCAGAAATGACTTGAAGGCACAAATAACAACAAACAACAAACAACAAAGCTGCCTTGGAAAAACCAGAGTCTTGAAAGACATATATTAAATTAAGAAATAAGTAAACAAATTAGTTTTAAGTACTAGGAATACTGATTTAGTGCACTAGAACCACAACATAAAGTAACCCATGATTGAAGATGAGCAGAATAAAACAAATTTCAAATGAGTTATATGCAGATAGTTGGAAGAAATTTATTAATGAAGTCTACAGACAGGATGAAGTTACCTATTCAATGCTGAGCTAGTTTTTTTTTAGTGTGGTGCCTACAATTGCATGTGCATAATAATGAGTACATCTCAAAAATTAATCCAAAACCATTCTGAATCTTAGAATTATGTTCTTTTCTGATAGCATTGCTTAGGGAACACTGAAATGTCGTATTTATAGCCTTGCTGATAGAATACTTATTAAAAGACAGGATCTGAGTAAAGAAAGCCTAGAATTCTGTTTCCAGTGTAATTTCAGAGTGTTTTACAAAATTTTGCAATGGTTTAACAAAAATTTCACTGGCATTTCACTTTGAATCTCAAATATTCACCAAGATGCTCAAAAATTTCACCCACAATTTTGCATAATTTCATTTCCCAAATGTTTTGCTAATTTTTACTTTTTTTCTGTAGGGTGCAGCAATGTTTCAGAAAGTTTTCATACATTTTCACTAGGACTTCACATGGTTTCGTCCAAGCGCCAGTCCCAAGCATTCCCTAAAACCATTTCCAAGGTCTTCACTAGGATTTTTGTTGGGATTATATTCACACTGCAGGTCGAATGCTCAGCAAAGGACAAAGCTAAAACAATCTCTGCACAATATTACGTTTTGTTTGTTCATTACAATTACTTACTGACTGATTGACTCAATCGCTGACTTCTCTTTATTATCACCCTCCTCTTCATCACTGTCAGAATCAGCTTCATTCTCACCTTGAAATAAAGCAGTATTTTTCTGCCTCATTAATACTGTACACCAGTATGTATGTCAAAGAAAGAGACACAGCCCACCTACTTGTAGGGAGTTTGATCAAAACGATGTGGCACTGCAATCACTGAAGGAGATAGTGGCCCGAGTTCTGCAGATGACTGGCAAAATGGAATAGGGCAGGTTGCAAGGATATCATACAGCTACACGATGGAGAACAGAATGACATGATGTTTTGAAAACTAAGACTGACTGACTGACTGCATGTGTTTGCCTGCCCCCCTATACTCAAGAAAAGACCTCACTGAGAAGGAGGGCACATGTGCTGCATGCCAAATGTCACTGGTTTGGTCTCTGCTATCTCCTATCTAAAACCCTATGGGTTAGTGTACAGAATACTCAGTTATATCAATCACTTGACTAACTCCTATCAGGCAACCTCTTCCTCAAAAAGGACTGTTAGAGTATATGATTTGTACGCAGAAGGTCTAAGATTCAATGCTTGCCATCTCTTTAAGAAATCAACTGGCAGGGAAATACTTCTGATTGCATCAGAATGGACAAAACTAGGCCTACATGGACAAAGAAAGCATCTGAAACAAGGAACAGCAGCTTCCTATAAACAAACAGGTATTACAAACATGTCATAAATACACAATGCTTCAATCCCAATCCCTTTCCAGGAAGAGGAGAAATAGGAAGAGGAGCAGCAGTTGTTGCTGCCCTTCCATTAAAAAGCACACAAATCCCACCACTGAATTCTCTGTCACTTGAAGTAACATAAAGGTGATATGGGGAGAAAAACCCATCTATCCCAGGGGACATACAGCCCCATGCCCCCCATTTTGCGGCTACCCAAGCTTCTAGAGCTACTAGACCATTTCTATTTAATTTTCTGAGGCTGACTTTTTAGGAAGGAAATTACCCAAATCACCCAAACTGCCACAAAAAGCATGGCAATCTGGGTCCCTTTGCATACCACTAACCCCAAACTTTATTATTATTATTATTATTATTATTATTATTATTATTATTATTATTTCTATTCCCACCTTTTATCCCAGTTCATGCCTCAAAGCAGCTTACAGCAAATTAAAAACATATTGTTAAAAATCTACAAGGTACAAAAGTTAAAATGAGATTAAACAATAAAAAATAAAAACAGACAAAATCAGACAGAAGTTTTTAAGGGTGAATCCTGGAGGGGGGAAAAGTAATGAGAAGTCATTTCCAGCTGAGATAATGCAGCCTGCAGAGCGGCATGGCCACATCCGCCTTTGCAGTTGCCTACCCTGACATACCCAAAGAGGTTTTGCCACAGACATCATATAACATTAATTCCAACCTCTTTTGAAGTATATTTATAGCCACCCAAGTTGAAGTGATATATTGGCACTGTAGAGAAGAAATGTGTTCTTGTTTCTCAAAAGAAAAATAAATAAATGCAGGCTGCAGAGTCTGTTCAAGGACCTTGTAGTGTATCACAGCATGACATCAAAACATCTATAGCTAGAATATAGTTCTGAATGCCTTTGGAAATACGTATACAGTCATGGCAACTTCTGCAAGAAAAATCTAAAAGTGAAACTACAAGCTAACACATGAAGACTAAATTGTTAAAAATTAGGTGTGATCACACAACTTTAGAGGCTATAGAATTCTTTATGGGGAAATATAAATACCACACATAAAACAGCTTATGAAACAAACCTGGATTTTTATCAGTCTAGAGCAAGAAGAATATAAGGACAATCACAACTCTTGTGAACAGCCCCTATTAATGCCACAGCCATTTACTGCTCTATATTAGATAGATGCCAAGTCATGTTTCCTCTAATTTGTTCAAAGTGTCTCTCCCTATCTATCTTATAGGCAACTGCCATGTTTCTTTGCTGCATATACAATCAAACAACCTTGCACATGGTATTTATCAGCTCCACACTTACAGGACAGATGCGACTGCTGTGGTTATATACGAATGGTATGCCACTCAACAAATCCACAAAGTGTTGACAAAGTATCTGCTTCTTTAAATACATACACACACTCATGTGGGAATTCTGACTGGAAGACAGATTCCTCAATAAGGGTTCAAAGTCATCCATGCTTATCCATTTGCTTCGGGAAACATCAATATAATATTGGTGTAGCTTCAGCAATTGCATCAGCCACAGACAGAGGTGAACTGCCATTAATCCACACACTTAATTGCAAACACAGATTAGACTTTTGATTAGAACAGGTGTAGGCAACCTTTCCCCTTTAAGGGCCGAGGGACTTCAGCTCCCAGAAGCCTCAGCTATGTTGGCCAATAATCCCATGTTGGCCAATATCTCCTGGGATTCTGGGAGCTGAAGTCCCTCGGCCCTTAAAGGGGAAAGGTTGCCTACCCCTGGATTAGAACTTCTGCTTGGCTCACCAGCACACGCCAAATGGATGAAGCAAAGCAGTAGTTCATACTCTTTGTCACATCCTCTTTTGACTACTGCGATCTTTTCTTTTTCTGGTCTTTCTCTAAGCAACACTTCAGTTTTTTCACTTCTGTCCAAAATTCTGTCACCAAGACTTACTCTTACTGCAATCATGTGATAACTTTCCATTCTGTACTGCAGACAGCACAATTCCTTTGCCTTTGCCTGTGAGTTTGGCTGGGGAGCAAGAGGACAGAACTGGTTTTGTATGTTTGTTGAGGGAATGGGAAGTGTTCAAAGAGTGAAAAATAATCTGAAATCAAAGGCAGAGAAGCAGCCCTGATAGTGCTCATGCATGGTTGGAAACAAATACAAGTGGAAGCTGCTTGCCTTCATACAAGTCAGATGGCTCAGGGAAAGACTGATTAATTGGTAGAGCACATGCTTTGATACAGAAGGCTCCAGATTCAATGCCTGGCATCTCTAACTAGTTCCGAAAAATATTCTGCTCTGAGACAACTGGTGCCAGTCAGTGTACACAATGCTACTCTAAGTTGGCCAGTGGTCTGAAACAGCTTCCTATGCTGTCTTCCTGTATTTAAAATTCTTTATAGTTTCACCTCACTTCATGCCCTTATTTCCACTTTCCTTGTTTTGTGACATTTTTCCTCTTGGACCTGCCAACCTCAAAGTCTCTAATTTTCTTCAAATACTGGTGTCATTCTCTCTTGCTGCCTCTCCTGCCTTTAACCCCTGCTCAGAACACCGAAGTGATACTGTAAAACTCGTATTTTAAAGTAAATCTCTATTTCTCATGTCTGCTTAAGACAGGAGTAGGCAACCTTTCCCCTTTAAGGGCCGAGGGACTTCAGCTCCCAGAATCCCAGGAGCTATTGGCCAACATGGGACTATTGGCCAACATGGCTGAGGTTTCTGGGAGTTGAAGTCCCTCAGCCCTTAAAGGGGAAAGGGTGCCTACCCCTGGCTTAAGACAAAGCCTTAAGTGAACACAACTGCACTGATTCAGATTCACCCATTATAATTGTTTCCTCATGCCTTCCTTCTTTTGGGGTGGGCAAAGCGTGACCCTGGGATTACAAGCAATTGCCACTCCAAGATGTTTTTGTGGCCCTGGACACTTCCAGAATCCCTAGACCAAGTTTTTCTTTGGTAAAAAACTGGAGGTCAATTGCTGCTCTTGAAAATCTCCAGGTACAATAATGTACCTTTTAAATACATTTCAAGTCTTCCTCTGTACTGTTTAACACTGAAAAAAATCCATTTTCGAGAGCCAGAAGTGGATTTCTGACTACTTTGGGGGAGGTTGTTTTATTTTTCAGTTGTCGGGCCTTGAGATATAGAAGAGGCTCCCAGACCTGCTGCAGTTGTCCATCCATTCCCTTATTCTGTTGTTGTTGTTGTTTTGTCCTTACTGTCATAACAGTTTGTTTTATTTCAGGATTTTTATTTTGTTTTGTTACTGCTACCCTGGAAAGTGCTATGGCTGATGAAGATACATAAACAACAGAAAACAAAATCAACATTGTTGATCACAGCCAAATTGTAGTGAGAAACAACAGCATTTGCAAAATCATAGCTTT